AGGGAGGGAGGGAGGGAGGCAAGGAGGGGAAGAGAGGAAGAAAAAAAATTAACTCATTGATAACTTTTAAAAACATTTAGCCGTGAAAATAATTTTCAATGTTCATCCTGTCGTCCACTATTTAGGAAGCACTTCCTTGACCCCAGACACTGTGTGGGGGAGGTACTTCCCATCTTCAGGGGCTGAGGCCATTAGGTAATGACAGATTTGAAATACAACTATGACCTTAACAAGTGTTATCGAGAGAGATGTGTAGACCCTTAAGAAACCAGCAAAGGGAAGTCTGGCCTGAAAAGCTCTCTGAAAAGCTGAGAACTGACGTGAAATTTCAAGGCAGAGGCTAGACTTTCCTGGCTCTGCATTGGAGTTTGGTCTCTGTTACCAGATCCCAGCTGGAATGAATTGTAAACATACATGAACTGTACAAGAAGACAGCTTACCTAGAAAACTCAAGGATATTAAGGACTTCAAAAGTGAAGCTTTCTCCCATCTACAAGAAGATAAAACAACACATTCTTACCTGAGAAATGAAATTTTCATTTTGCAAATTAATTCACTCCTTCCCATCAAAAAATGACATTTTACCCTCTAAATATTTATCTTTTTCAAAATACATATTTGCCTGCAAATCTGACGACTGCACCTTCCTCTGGTAAAAGCACTTTGTGCAAGGCCAGCAAGTGAGAGACCCTGAGTTCCAATTCAGGTATCCCCTTCCAAAACAAGGCATGATTTGCCAGCTGCAACGTGGGCACTTACAGCACAAAGCTTTCTACCAACACCTATTTAGGACAGAAGCATTTCTCTTTCAATTTGGAATTTATACTGTTAGATCTGATTGTCACAGGTTGAGCCAGCCCAGGGGGTAAAGCCCAAGCCTGTGAGACTCTTGTTTCCAATTAACTAGCAAAAATCCAGAAGTGTGAGGGGCAACAAAGGAAGGGGTGACATTGACCAAGAAGTATTATACTCATGACCTGATTCATGGAATTGCAAGCCCTTTACACAACTACTTAATATAAAAGGCCAGAAGAGGAGGTGTGTCTCACCTCCTGAAAAACCAAGTAAGAGTATGAGGCCTTGAGTTCAAACCCCATTCATTGGTCCATTGCTGTCTGCTAATTGTCTCATTTACTAAATGAATCCTCAGTCACCTGATAGTGTTCATGCACTGTTTCTTTCTTTTCTTTTTTTGCTGCAATACTGGGGCTTGAACTCAGGGACTGGGGTCTGTTCTGGAGCTTTTATGCTAAAGGCTAGCACTCTGCCACTTGAGTCACACCTCTGGTTCTGGCTTCTTGGTAGTAGTTAAATGGAGCTAAGAGTCTCATGGACTTTCCTGCACAGTCTGGTTTTGAATCTCAGTCCTCAGCTCTTAGCTTCCTGAATCGTTAGGATTTCAGGTGTGAGCCACAGATGCCTGCCTATATAGTTTTTGATGGTCTGATAATTTTAACACCTTTAGATAGTCACTTGAGTTGTACACTTTCTGTGTTCTGGACATGGGTTTAAATTACTTTGTTTAGTAACTCACAGGATCCTTGAATGGACCGTGCAGTATGTACAACAATAGAACTGAGGAGCAGGTGAGGAAAGGCCCCTGAGAATGCTGGTAATGAAGGGATGGAGCCAGGTAAGCCTCCCATTGCTTCCAGGCCCCTGCTCGGAACCACCACACACTTCTCCCTGTCTAGAGGAGCCTTTCTGTGTGAAGCACTCAGCAGTGTCCTACTCACGGTTTCTATGGTGACAGAGTAAGGTGTTCTGGTGGTGAAAACAAACCCAAGATTTTTTGCTCCTTTCACTAAAGCTGCCTCATCTGTTAATAAATGGATTGTATTAATTGAGACTGAACAAATGTATTGACACCACAATACATCTAAAACAGACTTCTATCCTCTGGCTCTGATATATAATATCGGTTTTTCAACATGGCTTTCTTTTTTATTTTTATTTTTTTGGTCAGTTGCGGGGCTTGAACTCTGGGCCTGGGCGCTGTCCCTCAGCTCTTCAGCTCAAGGCTAGCGCTCTACCACTTGAGCCCCAGTGCCACTTCCTGCTTTTTCTGCTTATGTGGTGCTGAGGAATCGAACCCAGGGCCTTATGCATGCAAGGCAAGCACTCTACCACTGAGCCACCTTCCCAGCCCCACATGCCTTTCTTTTAAAAGATGCTTTTATCTTTAACTTTTATCTTTAACTTTAAAAAAACCTTCATTATGTTTTGCATTTAGGCTTGCAAAAAATTCAACTAGTATACACAGATAGGTTTTTAAACCTAAGAGAAAATTGAAATCCCTTTGTACAACTGAGGATAATGAAATAAAAAATAGAATAAAATAATAAAGGCATTTAAAGGAAACTAAAAGAGAAAGAAAAATAACAAAATTATCCAACTCTCCACCACCATCACCAGTACACAATTTGGAGTTATTCCTTTTTTCCCCATTTTTTCCAAATTATTTTTTTAATTTTAATTTTTTTATTGTGAAAATACTGTACAGAGGGGTTACAATTACATGGGTAAGATAATGAGTACATTTCTTATCAAGCTTTGTAGCCTCCTCTTTTGTTTCCCCTTCCCATCCCTTCCCATCCTCCCCCTACCCCCATTTCCAAATTATTTTTAAGTAGCTCTACAAAGGGATTTCAATTTAACATGTCAGTTTATGAGTACAGCCACTTTCATAATTCTTCCCCATCTTTCTCAAACCCATCTATCACTCCAAATTTCCTGCTTCCATTTTCACTTATGTATATTTAATATTATGACTATATTTCCTCTCTCTTCCTCTCTCTGTTTGTCAGTTCCTTTTCTCCTTGACCTCCTCCTTCCACGACAAATATTCCAGCTTCCTGGGATTCATTCTGCTAAACTGTAAGCTAGTTGTTCAAAGAAAGTATACCATCGGAATTCTTCCCTGAATTTACCATATATCAGTGAATATGTTTGTGTATGTAAGTGAATGACCCTTTTTATGTTTTCATATAGAACATGGCTTTTTTATGTTGGGGACACTAGTGGCTCATGCCTGTAATCCTAGCTATTCAGGAGGCTGAGATCTGAGGAAGGCAGTACAAAGCTAGCCTGAGCAGACGAGTCCATGAGACTCTTATTTCCGATCAACCAACAAAAAGCTGGAAGTGGAGGTGTGGCTCAAGTGATGTAGTACCAACCTTGAGCTAAAATGGTAAGGGACCTAGCCTTGAGTTCAAGCTCTAACACACACACACACACACACAAACACACACACACACACACACACACACCCCTCCACTGTTTTTTTATCCAAAGCAACTTATCCAACCTTCTTAATACCATTGCGTTCATGAAAGAGGAAGTTTGGTCAAAAAGGGCCTATTTTAGTTGAACTAAGATGAAACTACCACCCTGATGGAAGTATTATTCAAAACAACCTTATGTGTTCTCAGTGTCATTAACAACACCCCAATAAAATGTTGGGGGGCCTTAACCTCTGCTGTATTATAGTTATACCCAAACACATCACTGAGCCTCAAACAGTACTGCTCCAGCCTTTTAAAGTATCTTTGGGGTAGGAGAGAAGAAGTCCTGGGGCCTGTAGAACAGCTCAAAGCTGCTGTGACCTGTGAGAACCCCAGAGAAAGCAAAAGGCAGGAGCCATGGAGGACATCAGAGGCCCACCACCAGCCAGCAGGAGCTGTACATTCACCCTCACACATGAAACCATGATACCTACCTGGGGAGGAAGCCTGGTAGATGATATTATTCCCCTCTTTCTCAGGGATAACTGTGTGGCACACACATAACAGGGTAAAAAATTCTTTTATGTATCCTTCTGTGGGCTAGAAAATAAAAGGCACAGAACTAGTTTTTTCTCCCTCTAGTCCCTTAGTTCCATTTTCACATAATTGCATGAAGTATTATGATTATATTCACTTATCCTTTCTTTATTTAGTTGTCCCTTTGAACACGGCTCTTTCTTCCTGGATTCTGAAAACTGTACCTTTTAGAATGCCATATATACATATATATTTAATATAAACATATATATTTATGTATATATTAATTAAAGTGAGATAACATGGAATTTAGGGAGAAAATAACAGACTTACATGGCCTTTCTCAAAGTTCTCTAATAATGCAGGATCATTAAATTCATAAGAATGTGACACCTGACTATAAGAAAGGAGAGAGAAAATTGTTATTATTATTATTATTTTGCCATTACTGGGAATTAAACTCAGGACCTTGTACTTTCTCTTAGCTTTTTCTGCTAACTATCACTTGAGCCATGAATCCACTTCTGGTATTTTGGTAGTTAACTGGAAATAAGTCTCATGGACTCTCTTGAATGGGCTGGCTTCAAACCATGATCCTCAGATCTCAGCCTCTTAAATAGCTAGGATTACAGGTGTGAGCCACCCATGCTTTGATGGGACTAGTCAATATCAAAAGGATCTAAAGTAAACAAATTCCTTCCTCTTGTGTTTTAAGGAAGATCACAACTAGAGATGACGGATCTATAAAAAATATTTACAAGTTTTGTCAAGTGACACACTCCTGGGTTTTAATGGCAGAGGCATTACAAGATGCTTAGATGGCCTTGAAAGCCGTAAGCAGGTTGATCATCCCCAACCCCAAACTCTGAAACCTGAAATGCCCCAGAATCCTAACTTTTTGAATCTTACTCTGATGCCATAGCTGGAAAATGTCCCTACCAACGAAATTTTCTTCACATACATAATTGTATTTTAAAGCTATCTAAAAATCACATTTAAAAAGGACTAAATTCTACTATCCTATAGCAATTATTTACTGTGTAATTAAATACAGCTGGAAGAGAGGAGTATCCTCAACATAAAGAAGCAATAAATGCTACAATGATGCATATACCAATTACCCTGATCTGATCATTACATCTCATATACATGTATTAAAATAGCACAGTGTATTCCATATGTCATTATTATATGTCAATTAAAATCTAAAATGATATAAAATCACTTTCAGGCTAGGTATACAAGATGTATATGAAAGAAAGATGGATTTTATGTTCAGATTCGGTCCAATCCTAAAGTTTTCTCATTCTATATAAACAAATGTGAAGAAAATTTTCAAAATCTGAAACACTTCTGGTCCCAAGCATTTCAGATGAGAGAAACTTAGCCTGTAGTTATAAGCAATTTATAAGAAAGTTTCAAAGCCATATATTATTCTCTGAACACCACACAGAAAAGATCTGAGATGCTCCCCAGGAGCTCCATTTGAGGTATGGACAAGAAGAAGGTGCCGTCAAGCACTGGTAGCTCACACTTGTAATCCTAGCTATTCAGGCAGCTCAAAGCCAGTGTAGGCAGACAACTCCAAGATACTCTTATCTTCAATGAAGCAGCAAAAAGCTAAGTGTGGAGGTATGCATGACTCAAGTGGTTGCACCACGCTCAAGTGAAAAAGCTTATCAAGAACATGAGTTCATGCCTCAGTACCAGAAAAAATAAAACTGTTCACAAGGAAAAAGAACAAATAGACAGGAAAATTGTCTATACCTGGATTTTTGGGGACAGACGTCACTTGTGTCTGAGTGATCCCTAAAGGAAAGCAAGGGGGAAAATATGTTTCACAAAAGACTATCAGTATAAAACGGTAGGAATTCTCATCATATATAAATTTGACAACTGCAAATTTCCCTTTCAGCTGCAATATATTTCAGTCTCACTCAGAGATAGCAATGGTATTAGAAATTCAGGCAAGTCTTAGAATAATAATAAAAAATAATAATAATAAATTAATGTACACTAAGAAAAATGAATTTCCTAAATATGGCACAGTACCAGCTCTCTCTCTCTCTCTCACACACATACACACACACAAATGGCAATAAATGCACTTACCCATAAATTATGCCTGCAATGGTACATTTCTTAAATGTCATAATATTGCAGGTAAGAGTTCCTGTTTTATCAGTAAATAAGTATTTTACCTAAAGAAAAAAAGTGAACATGAGAGATCATATAAGTTTAAAGTACATTTACAGAGCAAAGACAATTAAGATGATGTATGTTCTCTCTAAATCCTCAAATATGTGGTTTTAAGAAAGTAAAAAAAAAGAACTTGGCTCAAAAGATTTTATCTTCAATATTTTTCTATTAAGTGTTTAGTTAGTATTTTTAATTATTTTGAAGAACATTCTTTCTTCTGTTATAAGCTATATAACAAACTATATGGTAATAGGCAAAGTAAACTTTAAGCTATCAAAATTAAGAAAATCAGAAGTTCAAGCTCATTTTCCTTCAAAGAAAAATTTCATTGTAAATATCTAGAAAATGGATCATTTTATCTTTAGTTGGCATTTTGGCTTGCACAAGCTTTCTTTAGAGTCTTCTTTTTAGCGTGTCTCCTTGCCTAACCCTAGAAGACTCTTACCTGCCCAAGCTCTTCATTAAGATTAGATGTTCTAGCCATGGCATAGATATTATTTTCTTGAAAATGCATATCCTCATCCTGTGAGAAATGGAAAACAAAGATTCAGAACCAGATTCAGAACTAGGCTTATGATTCCTTCAAAGGTTTCACTGCCGTGGATCTTTCTCTGACACTGATGTTTAGAAAATGCAGGATCAGATGCTAATGCTTTTCCCATATGTTAGAAGAATCAAACAGGACAGGCAGTGCCTTCTAGAAAGATATTTTGATGTTTGGATGATCTAGGAGTACAAGACTTGGCTTGGATATCAGCACTGCATCAGCCAAGCCCTGGGTTTTGAGGAAGTTACTTGACATCTCTGTATCTCAGCTGCCACATCTATCAAATGGAAACAACAATTTGGATCTCAAGTACTTAGGAGAAATTAAATGAAATGCATTTGAATGTGGTCTGTCTCACCTTGCATGATTATAATAGTATTCCCAGTTGGAATGTGGCTCAGTGGTAGAGCAATGACTAGCAATGGTGAGGCCGTGAGGTCATCCCCAGCAAAACCACAACAACCAAAGAAAATATTCCCTTTCAAATCATGGCAAGCCAAGGATAGAGTGAGAGAAAAACTATTTTAGTTTCTATTTTTTATTGTTATTATAAATTGAGGGGCTGGGAAGGTGGCTCAGTGGTAGAGTCCTTGCCTTGCATTCATTAGGCTCTGGGCTCAATTCCTCAGAAAAGGCCCGAAGCGGCACTGTGGCTCATAGTAGTAGAGCACTAGTCTTGAGCTGAAGAGCTCAGGGACAATGTCTAGGCCTAGACGTCAAGCCCCACAACGACCAAAAAAAAAAGTGATGTAGAAAGGGAGTTACCATTTCATAAGTGAGGTAAAGAGTATATTTCTTTTTGTACAATGTTATCTCTTCCCTCATTCTTTTTTGTTTTTTTATTTTTTTTAATTGTGAAAACACCATATAGAGGGGTTACCATTACATGGGCAAGATAATGAGTACATTTCTTATCAAGCATTATTGCCTCCTCGTTTGTTTCCCCGTCTCTTCCCTCATTCTCTCACAGTTTTTCCCTCCCATCCCCATCCACAAGTTGTATATTCATTTTCAACATAGTGGCCAGTGAGTATCACTGCTACATTTCTTCATCCTTTGTCCCTCCATTTCTGTGCCTCCCCTGTACCCTCCCAAAGTCAGATAAACAAACAAGACAAAAAGAAAAGAAAACAAAAGGGACAAAGAATAAAACCTCACTTCCATTTCCTGCAGTTCATTTCGATAAATATTATTTTATATGATCAGAGGCACATATGCATTTGTGCCTTTGTGTTCCTCCCCTAAAAGTTTCCTTCTTTGGTCTCACTGTGTGTGAATGCCTCGAGGTCTGTATAAATTATCATGTCCCATGATAGTTGAGATCTAGCTTCTGCATATGAGAATATATTTTTAACATGAGGCAGCCAGCCATAATTTTTTGACAAAAAAAGTAAATATTTCAGAAATAGAATGGTCAGATTTTTCCTCTTACATGTGGAGCCTAGACTTAAATGATATACAGGTCAATATGTATATATGTACACATATACACACACAGAACATGATTATAACTTATGGGACCTTTGGGCAGATGTGGCAGGCAAAGGGAAAGAACAATGGAGGGTGAATAATATTCAAGTACATTGTGTTTGTGAGGATAACATAAGAATATTCACTAAAACGGTCGTATAATAGAGCAGTAGGAGCAACGTGGAAAGAGTGAACAGTAAAGAGACAAATGGCACATATTTTCTCTCATATGTGGATGTAAATTATAAATATACATGAAAACATATGCATAAAAATATTCACTAATGTATGGCAAACAAAGGAGGATCCAATGGTGTAATTCTTTTTTTTAAAAAAAAACAACCACACACACAGTTTAACAAAATAAATACCAGGAAGCTAAAACATGTGTTATGGAAGGGAGGGGGAGGCCAAGGAGAGGGGAGGAGGAGAGGAGAAAGACAAATGGAGAGAGGATGAGACAAATACAGTCATTCTATTTAATGTTCATACATGAAAAGAGAACCAGGTAACTTGAGGGGATGGGTAGGGTTGGAAGAGATGGGAAGAATGACTGGAAGAGGTAACACTGATCAAATGCATTGTAATCATAAATTAACATGCTGAATTGAAACCCCTTTGGACAACTACTTAAAGAAAATTAAAAAAAAAGAGTAATAGAATGTTTCGGTGCATGTGTAAAATAACACAGTGAAACCCTTTGCACAGTCAATATACACTAAAATTGAGTTACAAGAATGTATAATAGATTGTTTTGAGGGGTGGGTAGCAGTGAGACGGAGAAAGAGAGGGAAAAGGGTGTAGGAAGGTGAATATCTACTTGTGTGAATAATAACCTGTTGAAATCATTTGTAGAAGGGGGAGAGGGAATGAGGGAGGGTAGTAGAGGGTGAATTTGATCACTAGACATTGTATATATGTACAGAAATATCACAATGAAACCACCTTGTACAACTCACACATGCTAATTAAAAAGTGTGAAAATAACTACTTAAGGAAATAATTTTAAGTTGAAATTTCATATTCAAACTGGGTAATTAGTTCAGTCCTCAATTTACTAGTTATTAATGACAGTGAATATGTATGGTTGTCACCTAAGAAAGTGCTTCCTTAAGTTAAAGTGATTGTAGACTTTCATCTTGGTTATTCTTGGCAAAAGTCCTAAGTCTACAAGACTCATCTACTGTATTGAGTATCATGGATTTTAGTGAATTAACTATCTCTATACTTGCTATTATTGTGTGTGTGTGTGTGTGTGTGTGTGTGTGTGTGCCTGTTCTGAGGCTTGAACTCAGGCTCTGGGTACTGGCCCTGAGTTTTTTTGCTCAAGAATATCATATTATCACTTAAGCTACAATCTGTTTTGTTTGTTTATTTTTGTTTTTGGTTTTTATGGGGGTGCTGGTCCTGGGGCTTGAACTCAGGGCATGGTTGCTGTCCCTGAACTTTTGGGCTAGTACTCTACCACTCAAGCCACAGCTCTACTTCTGGCTTTTTGGTGGTTAGTTGGAGATAAGAGTCTCATGGACTTCCTGCCCAGACTGGTTCTGAACTGTGATGTTCAGATCTCAGCCTCCTGAGTAACTAGGCTTACAGGCATGAGCTA